GGGTGACTGAATGAATCTCCTTTATCGCAGCGACCTCAGCCGTCGGGTAACGGGTTCAAGCGGACTTTGGTGAAACTCGCTCGAGCAATGAATGACAAGAAAAGGAGGCGTGTGGTTAACCAGATGACGCAGACTGTGGCTGTTCAACTTAGGTGTGGCCAATTCCGGGGGCGCTGCGCCTCAGTGCGCTTAACTCAGCACTAAGTTGTGGCGCTCAGCTAGCGTCCAATCCAATTCTACTTAGCGGCACCTGACGCCGTGACCTCATCGCCTTGCAGCTGTCATGTTCAGCGGGGAGTTTAGAGCTCCCGCTCGTTCGTTCAGCTGCTGCTCGACAGTAAGTATCTCCGCATGCGCATCCGAATTTCCATACGAAGGTGGCAGAGCTCTTGGGTGCTGACGACGACTTGCGACTTGACGAACAAAGTTGCCTTCCTGTAAATATTCCTACGCCTATATCTCCAGATTTCGTACTTATTTTACTTGAATCTAATCACTTCACTGACTGCCTATTCAATTGTGAGAGTATTGCACAAGCTTCCCATCATACCTCGACCGCAGAATATCCCCTAAGATTATCTCTCTGTCTGCCTAACCTAGTGATATTTCTTTCCGAACCACCTTTTCCCGTACACCCCGCAGCGCAGTTCGCTGCCGAACGGACTTCCCATATTTCACGATACTCACAATTCCATACCGCTCCATCTTCTTCTTGCGAGACCTGCGCAGTACTTCGCCCGGATCCTGCGCTGAGGATTAATCTACAACTCCGTCAATATGGGTATCAATAACCCTCTTCCGTCGTCTTTGGCGTGTGAGTAACCCCCTTGATAACCCCCTCTTAACCCGGCGCAATCTCGCGCGTAGCTAGCTACCCGCGCCGTGGGTGAGCAGTATACTGACGCTGCCTCTTTCACCAGCGGAATGCAAGAAGTGTGGCAAGATCTTGACTTCCTTCATCGATCCGCGACAAGCTTTCGGCCCAGACAAGATCATCCCTCCCCAAATCCTCGCAAATGCCAAGGCAAGTCAATCTCCCGCTGACATCTGGCTGCCCACGTCCGATCGACCGCCGCGCGTCTGTGCGACTATACTAACGGATAACGACGCAGGGTCTGGCGATCCTTACCGTACTCAAGGCAGGCTTCCTCGGCTCCGCACGTTTCGGTTCCGGCCTCGTCGTCGCTCGCTTGCCTGATGGATCGTGGTCCGCGCCTTCCGCCATCGTGACCGCTGGTGGAGGCTTTGGTGGACAGATCGGCTTTGAGCTGACCGATTTCGTCTTCATCCTGAACGATTCCCACGCCGTCAAGACTTTCTCCCAACAAGGATCGATTACGCTCGGTGGAAATGTATCCATAGCCGCGGGACCAGTCGGCCGGAACGCGGAAGCGGCCGGTGCTGCCTCGCTCAAAAGCGTAGCGGGCATCTTCAGCTACAGCAAAACAAAGGGTCTGTTCGCAGGTGTATCCTTGGAAGGTTCAGCTATCGTGGAACGAAGGGACGCGAACGAGAAGCTGTACGGTCAACGCCTGTCCGCCGCACAACTCCTGAACGGTGCACTGCGACCGCCACCGCAGGCCGCGCCACTGATGAGCGTATTGAACTCGAGAGTCTTTGCCGGAACGCGCCAAGGCTCTATGGAAGACACCATGTACAATGACGTCCCCGTCTATGATGACCGACACGACGATGTAGTATGGAACGACCGGCGCAGTAGTGCTCAGGCGGAGAGTCCGGCTGGTGGACAGAGTCAGTTCGGCGCACCCAAGAGGTCCAGCACGTGGCAGGACGATATTTATGATCAACCGACTGGTGGGGGGCTTAACAGGTCCAACACCATAGGTTCAAGAGGAGTCGTCGATGACTATGTTTACCGCGACCGCGCCTCGCCAACTGCAGGCGGCTTTCAGAACGAAAAGAAGGCCGGTCCCAACAGGCCAGTGGCGCCGAAACCCAGCTTCCTTAGCAATAAACAAGGGTCGTTGAAGAAGAACGAGGCGGTGGCTCTGTTTACGTTTGAGGCCGCCCAACCAGGTGATCTCGGGTTTAAGAAAGGGGACGTCATTACGGTGCTGAAGAAGACCGAGAGCGATAATGACTGGTGGTAAGTATTTACATTTCATATCCCTATCTACCATTGAAGAAGCCATACTTACTCGTCTCAAGGACTGGCATGATTGGTGCCAAGCATGGAATATTCCCCAGTAACTACGTGAAGATGCAGGAGTAAGGAGAAATTTCTACCGGCCGAGTTCTCGCGGGCCGCGAGGACCCTAGGGTAGGCAGGATTGGAGGAGGTTCTATGAAAACATGATGAAGCTGGCCAAGTTTGGTGGTTGGCAGTTGTGAGAGATGGATGGGAAAAGGAGGAAGCCGCTTACCATACTCCAAATTCATGACCACGTCAGAAGATTTGTCCCGTCTTTCTTCTCTGACCTTTTTTATGTCTCAGCGCGAATGATATTCTTGCTTCGCGGTGGATCATCACTCCCTTCTTTTTTTTCTCTCTCCCTTTTCCCCCCATACTTACTACCGGCGTTTGAAAGAACGAGAGAAACAGAAAGAGAGAAAAGAAAGGGATAACTCTTGCTGAGCATTTACGTATGAAATTGCCATGGGGAAATAAAAAAATACCAGTATCATTTCTATTCTCGTGACGAGTTCATCTGATATATCTACCTTTTTGAACAGCAGGACCCCTGCCCTGACTGAGTTTCGATATGAGGTTCGTTTTGAGGAGAGGGAAAGCCTCTCTCTATTTGTCATGGTTGACAAGTCAGAATTTGGGGGAGCGGGGGTCTGGTCTTTGAGTGGTAGTTGATAGGTCAGTGTGGTAGGTGGGATATGGAATACAGGTCGTTGTTAGAAGATACTGTTTCCCCGTGAAAGGTGCCAGCAGAGTCCTCGTGTTTCTGTATGAGGCTCGTTTTGAAGGGAAAGGTCTGCTTTCCTCAATGGTTGACGAGTCAGAATTGACGATACGATAAGCTGAGCAGCTGTCCGCTTCTTTGTGAACATGCTTCCACACCGCCCGAAGTGCCAGCAGGACCCTGCTGTTTCGATATGAGGCTCGCCGTTGGAGCCTAACTTCGTCGTGGTCCATACGCCGAAGGTTGTTATGTCAAAGGCCCGGTATGATATATATATAGATAGAATGGTTGCCCCGGCCGAAGTGGTTCCTGGCTTCATGCAGAGACCCCCTTTAGAATACTTACACGCGAGAGTTCTATTCCTCTTGAAGGTTCGTTTATCCAGCATGATGCCCTGCATACTTACCCTTACCTGGCTTTGGCTTCTATCAGCACTTTCGTGCAATGCTTATACCATCACCTCCTCCTGCGATCAGAACAAGCAAGAAATCATCCGACAAGCTATGGCGGAGATGGGTGACATGGCGAGAAACGCTGCTTTTGAGTTGGAGCATCACATGCACGAGCCGCGAGTGTTCGAGTTGAAGGAAGCCCTGGCGGGCGCGGCCGATGTGGGCAAACTCATAGGTCAGTCTATACGCACCCCAGATGGACATCTACGTCTGTCGAAGAGCACTATCTCAATGCTGCAAGCAACACATTTTTCCTGGATAGAGTCACCAAACCCTTTCCCCCCCCTCTCTCACGATCCTGGGCTTCACTGCTTCGAACCCAACCAAGAATCCAGCACATGGACATCAGAGTAACGCAGAACAGGACGATTTCGAGCTCTGGCCGAACTTGGCAATAGCTCAACTCACCCGGATGTGTATATCTCCTGTAAAAGTTACAGGGACAACTGCATTGCATCTCGCACCGATGTCAGAAATAACCCGCAGGGAGACGCCATAAAACTGTGCGAGGTTCCCTTCTACGTTAAGGAACATGGCTCGTTCATCAAGAAAGACGGCAAACCTACGGCGACCTCGCTGCTCATGAGCCAGAAAAGGCACGCGTCACACCACAGGCCCGGCCAGCCACCGCACGCGCAGCCATCCCTGGAGGACTTCGCCATGCTTCCGAGCATCCTGCTCCATGAGATGACCCACACGGTCGCCGGCGGGTTTAGAGGTACGTCTACTAGCAGCTACAAGTCACCTCCCCTCCCCCCTCCCCCCCTCTTTGGCGTTCGGGAACAGGAAGACTACATGCGCAAACGGGGGGATGAGCAGTTCTTTCATTTCTAACAATCCAATAATAGCCGTGCATGGCGTCTACTGGGACCAACGGGGCATTCGAGTGACGGCGTACGGGTTCAAGAGGAGCGTCGCATACAAGTACAGCCTGATGGCGGCCGACAAGGACATCGACCTCGTCCTCGACAACGCCGACACGTACGTGCTCCTCGCGCTGGGACTCTACATGTCCAAGGACAACTGGGCGCTGGGCTACGCGCGGGCTATCGCGCATCCACCCGTTTGTTGCTCGTGGGCCAAGTACACTACAAATCGTCGAGACCATATTAATCTCGTGCACGCCCTGGGTACTTTTTATTAGATGGGTGATCAAGAAGTGTTGCACCCGTCGTCAGAGATACTATTATACCTACTAGTAGGTTGGCGTAGGTAGATAGCGGTTACGAACGAAACAATATGGGATACTCGTGTATAAGCAGAAGAGGGATAATCGGATAAGCATTATTATATGAATTACGAAGTATTCCACAAGAGATACCTGCTTATTCAGATCCCGATATGTAATAGGTAGAGCAGACTCTAGTGTGGTGCTAACCTTCAATTAGATGAGTGGCTACGAAGTAGCTAAATTGATGTTGTGAGATCTTGGTACGGTGGATCAAGATGTGACGAGGTTGTGCCGACGTTACTAGACGCACCATTGTGGGAAAAAACAAAACATGTATATTGCCAAATACCTAAGACACCGCGGCTTACATCCACAAATCGTCTCAAGTAGCTCCGATAGCTTTTGATGGTAAATATATAGTATTTTATCTCCAAATTTTCCCAGGCGGCTTCGATAGCTTTGTGGGAGAGCACCCGATTTCTCATCCACAGATCGTCATAAACAGCTCCGATAGCTCAGTGGTAGAGCAACAGATTGCAGCTAGGAACTATCTATCTATATATAGATAATTCTTCATTTTCAGCTATCTGAAGGTCGATCGTTCGATCCGGTCTCGGAGCTTTGATCTTTTGATTTTGGTTTTATTTTTGCGCGATCTTCCTCCTCTCTGGTCTTCTGCTTCTTTTTTCTTTCTTGTTTTCGGGCCCAAAACTTTGGCTTTGCCTAACACCTACGAACTACCCCTCATCTTCCATCATGATATCTCCCTATCTACTACACATATAGATATCCCATTGTCGGGAATAGAACCGGGTTCTAGCATTCGTCGTTCAGGCGTCCCATTTGATGAGTAATTGCCCTTCGTGATTCATGGACGACTACTTGGACAAGGTTCCCAGGAATGACTCGGAACCCCGGTAAAGGAGTTTTATCACGCATACCGACTAGCAATCTCCGCATACTCTATGCGCCGAAGCCCCGTCTTACCCAATCAATCAACCCACGGGCTAGCCAATGCAACCTTATGGCATTCGGAAGTACGCCGCTGTTGACGGTGGTGTCGTCAGCGGCCTATGGGCTCGTATTGAGCAGCACGTGGACACTTTGAGCTCACCTCCAGACCTGGTCCGCGGATACCCCATCACCGCCATATAAATCTGATGTGCTATGCCTTGCGTGAGCTTGGTAGCTTGGTCTCAGCATGTCGACATCCCCATGACCGACGCGACCGCTCTTTTTGGATACAGACGCTATGGGATCGATCATCACGTCCATCAAGGCCTCTCTGGTCCTGGCAGCGGGGGTGGTAAACGCGGCAGCCAGTTACCCTGCCAAGCCGGTTGACTTGACGACCCCTTTTCAGCAACGGCTTGCCATCAGCGGACCTAACTGTGAGTTGTCATAGGGTGTATTTCCAAGCGAGTATAAGAGTGCTGATTCGGTTCTTGCGGCATTCGTTAGCCATGGCGGTCGGTTGGAATACGTACGAGCAGCTAGAGCAGTCCTGTGTACAGTATGGCACCTCGGATAGCAATCTCACGCTGCAGGCTTGTTCCACCACATCGGCCACGTACCCTACTTCGCGGACTTTCTCGAATACGGTGATCTTGCCTGACTTGACGCCGGCGACTACGTACTACTACAAGATAGTGTCTACGAATTCAACCGTGGAACACTTTTTCAGCCCGAGGACCGCAGGTGACAAGGGGGCCTTCTCCGTGAACGCAGTGATAGACATGGGAGTCTACGGGGCCGACGGCTACACCATCAACATGGACCCGACCAAGCGGGACACGATCCCGTCCATCGACCCCTCGCTGAACCACACCACCATCAGCCGCCTGGCGGACAACGTGGACGACTACGAGTTCATCATCCACCCGGGCGACTTCGCCTATGCCGACGACTGGCTCTACAAGTCCAAGAACCTGCTCGACGGCGTGGACGCGTACGAGGCCATCCTGGAGCAGTTCTACGGCCAGCTCGCGCCCATCGCCGGCCGCAAGGCCTACATGGCCAGCCCGGGCAACCACGAGGCCCAGTGCCAGGAGATACCCTACACCACGGCCCTGTGCCCGGACGGGCAGAAGAACTTCACCGACTTCATGAACCGCTTCGGCGCCGCCATGCCGACCACCTTCTCGTCGACCTCGGCCGACGCCGCCGCCAAGGTCGGCGCCAATAAGGCCCAGGTGCTCGCGAAGCCCCCCTTCTGGTACTCGTTCGAGTACGGCATGGCCCACTTCGTCATGATCGACACCGAGACCGACTTCGCCGACGCGCCCGACGGGCCCGACGGCTCCGCGCACCTGGACAGCGGGCCCTTCGGCTTCGCGGACCAGCAGCTCGAGTTCCTCGAGGCGGACCTGGCCTCGGTGGACCGCACCGTCACCCCCTGGGTGGTGGTCGGCGGCCACCGGCCCTGGTACACGACCTCGGGCCCGTGCGCCCCCTGCCAGGCCGCCTTCGAGCCGCTGCTGTACCGGTACGGTGTCGACCTCGGCGTCTTCGGCCACGTGCACAACTCGCAGCGCTTCCTGCCCGCCTACAACGGCACCGCCGACCCGGCCGGCCTCGAGGACCCCAGGGCCCCCGCGTACATCGTGGCGGGGGGTGCGGGAAACATCGAGGGCCTGACCGCGGCCGGCACCGGGCTGCCGGATCTCAACGCGTTCACCTACGCCGACGACTTCAGCTACGCCCGCCTCTCCTTCCAGGACGCGAATCACCTGCAGATCGAGTTCATCCGGTCCTCGACGGGGGAGATCCTGGATACGTCGGTCTTGTATAAATCTCATGCTGAGCAGTTTGTTGTGCAATAAATTAGGCGGCTTCTGACCGCGGGTTGGAAGGGGGTCCATCGTCGGACTTTGTGTGGTTGGTTGATAGTATATTAATGAATTGAATGAAAGAAGGAATGAATGTCTTGAATCCTAAATTGTTATATTCATAGACTTGACTGCTCGAGAAACTGCTGTTCTAGATTAACTACTGCTTGGAAGTAAGTAGTAAGAGAGGGAGGGCTATGGCAAAGGAGATTGTTGAGTTGAATCCAAGGTTGTAGCGATGTGTGCTGCGCTATGCTGGATAGTTGACTGGGTAAGTACATAAAGTAACGGGTTATTATTATCCTTGTGCAAAGCCGCCTGCGCCACAGGCTCATCATCATCATCATCAGCAGCCCCGCCGACCCCTATCCCTCGGCTCCTGAAGATGTACCTGCAGAACCAGATCTACTCCATCCTCGACACCGTCAATCGCGTATACCTCTACCACCGCCCCCGGGACGGCGACTCGCCCATCCTGATCTGTTACCTGCGCGGGCTCGTCATCCGGATGCAGGACCAGAATACGGGCAGAGTCATCTATATCAAGAGAGAAACATGCCTGCTTCGATGACGGAGACATTGGTTTTTTTTTTACCCCAGAAACTGCCTGCCTTTGAAGTAGGGATAGTCTAGTTAGTTGATAGAGGGCTGGCTTTTGTGGTCGTTTGTACACTGGCGGCTCATGAATTGGGATATGGTAATATCCTGAAGCCGTATTGCTTTTGTCTGGTGCGGTGGGTAACTAGCGCGGTTGCGAGTTTTTCCCCCGCCCCAATGGCTTTTGGCTTTTTCCCCGAGGTCCAACAGTTTTTTTCGGCAAGGGTGATGGTCGCTTGTCGGTCTGAGCACTCTGGGGGAAAAATGGTGGTGGTATGGGGAAGTTAAGGCTAGATGGGGAGGATGGAGAGGAAGAAAGCGTTAGATCATGATGCATAAATTGGCGTTGCGGGAGCTGTTTTGCAGCACTACCTGCCCATCCTGTTCATAGATGGTTGCCTTTTGTAAATTGCATCACACAAGGATGAACAATAACCCAACAGGGCGAGATAGAACAATAACTGGGGAGGCCTCTGCACAGGCCTCAACATACAAGGATCAATGTCGCCCTGTCGGGTTATTGTTATCCTTGTGTGATGCATTTTACAAAAGGCAACCATCTATGAAAATACATTTTTATACTTGACGTTCGTCTTTGGAGCACTAGCTAATGTGTTGAACCAAAATTCATAAACATGTATTCATCGTACGTTAGGGCTAGCGAATCCAACGCCCCTTACAGCAAGCAACCCTCCTAATTCGTACATGAATGGAAATACAGAAAGTCAAACAGCATGCGCCAAAGCTCGCCCCAAACTCTTAAGGCTCCCCCATATATTACAAGAAGGAAAAGAAATCAGATATCAGACATTGCCCCCGCCTCCCACCTCACGTAGTCCAGCTGATGACGTTTTCATAATCCGGCAACAGCGGTGCCCTCTTCTTCCCATTGCCGCCGACGTTCTTAAGCTGGTGTTCCTCATCATCAAAGCAAGGAAGCCCCTCCTCCTCCTCGACACCCGGGTCGCCGCCGCACAGATCGTACACTGTCTTGGTCTCCATGTGGCAGAACTTGCCCTCGGCGTACGACACGAAGCTGGGGCCGGCCGAGATGCGGGACCCGCAGAGCTCGTCGGCCGAGTGGTCCGGCGACCGGCTCTTGACCAGCGAGTGCCGGTGCCTGGCCGTCGTGCTCTCGGCGCGCCGCTCCTGGCGGCGCTGCCGCTGGGCCATGGCGTCGGCGGGCGTCGTCGCCAGCGCCTCGGAGGGCCTGCGGCTGAACAGGGACCGCTTGTTGGTCCAGAACGTGCAGCTCTTGGGCTCGTCTTCGGTGTGGAATTGGAGGACGGCGTCGTGCTTGCAGAAGCTGGTCGTCGGGTTAGAAGAACTCGGAGTGGGTCAGGAGGGGGGGAGAATGGGGGAAGGGGTGGGTGAGGGGGTGGGGAAAGTCTTTCTGATGACCGGTCAGGCAACCGGAACGGGGACGATTGGACACATACTATTCTAGGCTCTGATCCTTCGGTACTCCCTCCTTCCCGTCGAACTCGGGCCAGTGAAGCGAGATTCCGGTCGTGGGCTGATCGCCATCGCCATCAAGCCAGGCGCACTCGGTCTTGAAACTCTCGCCTTCTTTGGGTTGCACATAGATATCAGACCAGTACCTGCGCAGCGGGCACACCGTGGTTAGCCATCATGTCATCTTCCCCTGTCTCACTTATTATCTAGCCAGGAGTGTGTGTTAAACATGGGGGAAGGCGTCGAAGAACATATATATCTATGTGTTCCAATCCCCTGTGGATTTGTCAAGGATGAATTTACTTACCACGCGCCTCCACGACCTTCGTACTTCTCACAAGCCCTGGCCCAACCACCGAGCGTGGTAGCGTACTTCGAAGTGTCGCCGGGAAAGTTGACGGTGGCGTACGAAATGCACATGGCGTCGTTGTTGGCCGAGAAGAGGGTGTAGGTCGGCTGGACTTCGACATCGTCTAGCTCCGACTTGCAGACGACGGACCCATCGTCGCACTTGTTGTCGTCGTTCGTCTCGATCTTGATGAAGTCACCGTTCTCTTCCCAGATGCGAATGTCGGGGAGGTTGCCGCCGGCGTTCTTGAGACCCTTGCTACTGCTGTCGTCGGGGTCCTTGGCCCCGTCTGATCCGATGTAGAAGTTGAACGCGGTCTTTGGACCTTCGGACTTGTCAAACTGGTTCGATGCGAAGCTGAGAACTGAAAGGGCGGTTCTAACTACACCAAG